TATTGCACTCTCTTTTCCTAGCCATATTTACAATTGAGACTCCAATAATAATTACTCGATTTATCTCCCCATGTTTAAGATATAATGTCCATTAATTAATTCAATTACTGACAATCAAGAATTAATTAATTTATTATTATTTCACCGAAGCTAGCGCTCGCTCATTCATTCTTACTATGCCGGAATTTAATCCACATGCAGGGTTTAGCATAATAATCTTTCATTAACTCACTCTGGGGACATCATTAAACTAAACGTACATGGTGACCGTAAATATCCTAACAACACATCCTACATGCAGCAATATTATCCAAGACAGCGGGTCTACTGGCCCAGTTCACTAAGCCTCACCCATGTGAATCAAAGTAATAAGTACTACACATATATGCGTGTTTAATATCTTACGGGTTAAGAGCACGCAGTAATTAACCGAGGCCTAGTTTGTTTACGACGATCAGTATAAAATAAACTGCTCCTCTCTGGGATCATGTTCAATACATAAATGTACTAATGCAACTAATCAGTCAAGACAAACTGTATAGTTGACACTACAACCGTTCCGATGGGGTGTTCATGTCCATCTAGGTTGTGAACCATTAATTATTGTTTCGCGAGTAACTGATAGTATGATCTTGGGTTCGCCCGAATCTAATGCAAAACAACAGAACGTAGAACTTGTTTAATCTAACATGTTTCTCATTCATAATGTGTAAAAGTGTAATATTATTCAAAGTCAAACTTTCAGTATATAACACTAACACCTAAGACTTCAGTCTAACTTTTTTTTGCATTACCCGGTATAAGCAATAGGCCAATTAACCAAACCGAGCAAGAGGGACAACAAATTTCATGGCAAGAGGCCGATTGATTTGCGTTACCTAGTATAAATTGGTTCTAATAAAAAATTGCGTTACCCAATAAAAATCAATCGAGATTTATACTATAACGACCATTTCCCTAATTTAGACACTTGTAATCAAATGCACGAGGGATTTAAATCGAGCACTTGAAATATATCAGCCTCTTATCGCCCGTTATCGCCGTCCACCCATCGATCAGGCACAAAATCAGTAGGGCTTGTGAATCCATATTGAAGGTGTATATTGAGCGAAAACTTGGGGCTCGGGGCGGATTCAAGCAGGGGACCGTTGAATTAGCCTCTAGCCACGGTCAATCAACAGTGCCAGAGGATCGTGCGGCTTAATTAGGGGGACAAGGACGAATCGGTCGTTCAATGTGGGGACAAGAATCTCGGGCTCCAATTCAGTATATATATGCTTCATGTTGTCTTTGTCTTTGGGAGATTTTTTTTTTTACATGTTTTGCATATTTTATGTTGTGAAATATTTTCATGATTATTTGAGGTTTATTAATACTTTATGTTTGCTATATGAACATAAATTTTTAGTCGTGTCACGAGATATGATAATATAAACCTCTTATAAACTATAAATAAACTAAACATAGACATAAGGAATAAATAGTTTATAAATTCACAATAAAAGTGTATGATTTTTTTTTTTTGAAGGATTCATATTTATGATAAACGATTCAAAAATAGTATGTATGTACATTTATTACGTACTTATAGCATTTTTTATATACATTAGCCTTTTATATTTCTCTTATTCTTCTCTTTTTTTAATTTTCAACATTGCCAATCCACGGAGAGCCCAAACTATTCGGGCTCTTATGTCAAACCTATTTGGGCCTAAAGAAACTAAGTCAGCCCAAACATCAATAGAATTGGCGTGGATTAAAACATGAATTAATGACACTGCGTGTCCCTTTTAAAAAACTTATCATTTTTTGGTACTTGGTAATAAATAATTCCGTACATACCTCATTTTATTCATCTAATGCTTTTTTAATTCCATACTCTTTAAAAACTGATCAGCGGTTCCCTCTCTTTTATTTTATCCCCAATTTTCTTTCCTTCTTATTCTACTTCCTTTTTTTCGACTTTCTTTATTCTTCTTTCCCTTCCCATTTTTCGATTCTCCTTCATTCTTCTTCTTTTCTCCTTTTTTTTTTTGATTTTTCTTCCTCTTCTTCCCCTTCCTCTTTTTCTTTTCTAATCGACAAGATCCGCCCCATCGTCTACGGTCGAACCCTCTGCTCACTAGCGATTCAGTAGAGGAGCAACTCGACGGGGTCCGCCGCAAAAGGGAAGCGAACGTCGGCGACTGGTATTTTTCTTCTTTTACGTTTAAATTTATATTCTATTTAGACTAGAATTTAATATGTAGTGTAGGGATTTATTTTATCAATATGAGACTTCTCTTTAATTTAGTATTTTTATTTTTATTTCAATAACTTGTTGATTACGAGATTCAATTATAATTGAACAATGTCTAATCAATAATTTGAGGTCGGGCTCTGTTTTTTTTTTTTTCGCCCCATGTGTTTTTTTTTCTTTTATTGTAATAAAGTTTCATGCGAAATTTTCAGTTAAAGAAAATAATGATTTATATCATGTGTTTATATAAAGGAGTTGGGTATTCATATTATACTGTAAATATACAGTTATTTTTATGTTATTTCATATATGTTATAGTGTTGTTTTGTTGTTACTTATGTGCATATATAACCAATTGATGAATCTTTTTTTTTTTTTT